TATTTTATGAACATCTAATCCAATTTTTCGTTTCCCCCGGGATCTATGATAATCATTTCTTAATCCTCAAAAATATACAACCCTGCAGTGAATTTGTAAAGATATTTTTTCTTTCCTTTTATCCGGAGGGGTGCATTACAAGAATGAGAGGTATAAAATCTCTCCATCCCACACCTCTCCAAGTTTCATTCTAATAGCAAAACCTAAAGTTTTTTTAGGATGATAGTTTTTCAAACTTTATAGTGTAAAAATTTAAGCGAGTCCATATTTGAAAATTTTCCTTGAACTGTAAAGTTTACCCCACAACTGGGAGCATTCCTTGTAATCAGTTTAATGGATAGAAAATTCCATTCAGAGGGCCAAGCCCTGGCAACACCGGTCTTAATCACTGGTGAATAATTCTTATTACTAGTTAGATGATTGCAATTGCAATGCACCAGTGTCTAGCTTCAAGTCAATTAAAGTTTATATTTTCCACCGAGAGCTTGAGTACACAATATGTAATAATTCTTTTTAGATTGAAAAACTTTGTTAGCATCTAGTTTCCAGGGGGAAAATCACCTTTTCCCCCCCCCCCTCTTTACAAAAAAATTTGTTTTTCCGAAAAATATATGTTAGCGCAGAGGGTAATTTTTTAAGAAGTTAGCTCGCTGAATTAGGGAAAAGAAATGATTTTTCAGTGAAGATCACTGAATTTTTCGGGGAAAATTCTCTTTTACTGTCCACTCTATCAATGGAGGGTCACTCTTAACGTTTAAAGTTTTTCGTTAAGCAAGATTTAGTGTATGTTCAATCGTTCTCATTTTTCCTAATGGACAAACGGAAAATGTTTGTAAAACCAACAAAATTTAGAAAGTTTTCAATGACAAAAACGCCATATTTTTCACGGAGAGAATTTATGTTCCTAGTTCCGGAAATTGGGGCTTTACGTTCATTTATAATATAGAAAAGCGCAATTCCTTGAATAATATAGATATAATTATTTACAACTTTTAAGGAAATTCTTCATAGCTCATTTATACTTGGATTTAGTGATCAAAGGATTTTGTAGGAAACAGGTTAACCACAAATTGAATAGAATCAATCTGAAAATGAGAAAATGGAATTATACAATTTTAAAAACGAAAAAATATGACTTCAGAAAATTGGAATAAAATATTTTTAAAAATCATTTAAAAAACTTCAACAAAACTTTTTTTTTCTTGTTTCAGACCAGTTCTTTTATTTTTTTAAACAATTTTTTTAGTTTGGTTTAAAACATAATTTATAAAAAATTGGATCGAACTTGTAAAGTTTCAAGTCTTCTCATTTTAGATTCATTATAGAAATTAACGTCCCCTTTCAGCGGTATGAGTTGTAAGAGGACAAATATATCGGGGATATATTGTTTACACTATTTATTGAACTGTTTATTTTACAAAGTGTTTTATCCTTTCTCAAGGCATATTCTACCTTATCGTTCAGTAGTTCACATTCATTTCGACTCTTATTGAAAACTATACCTTATACAACACCTATCAATAAATTGATAAATTTGTTAAGGGGGGAGTCTTTTTGTTAAGGGGGGAGTCTTGTTGTTAAGGGGGGGTTAAATACATGCATAATTAAATTGTACTCTCTTCCTAAATATATCTCTATAAATGTTTTAGTGTGAGAGTAAACTTGCGGTGCTAAGGATCCATTTCATTTTGGTCCGGATCCGGTGTCTGGATCCGCCCTGGAAAAAATGGATCCGGATCCAGGTCATTGAAAATTTCTTTCAGAATATCTGTTTTTAAATGTTTTTTTTTGTGTTTTTCGCATACTTGTATGCTTTAACTTGAGGAAAAATTCCGAGATGCGAAAATTTTTAATACTCTCCCTTCATACATAAGATCAGATTTTTGTTTTGAGATCAAGACATTTTTTTACATTTTTTGGTTGATCATTTCCCCTCCGGGTCCAGGAAGCTAAAAGGTTGCGGATCCAAGCACTGAAGTAAAGATAAAGAGACACAATTTGTTTCAAGGTTTCACAGATAATGTTACAATCGGATTAATTCTCCAATATCTGGTTTTCGTAAATTGTTTCTTTATTTAATCTTCACCAAAATGAGTTTGGAAACTCAACCTCAGCTTTAAACTTTAGAAATGTGGATATTGAGATGAACCCGAACCCAGCAGAAATATCCATAAGAGATGATTAAGCAGAAAATTATGAGTGTCCACAGTGGATATCTAGATTAAGCACTCGGGATTAAGGGTATCCCCTCTGCTCCGTTTTTTAACTATCCTCGCGTCTTACAAGTTTTTGTTTTGTTTTGGCATTTGACTTAGTGAGTATTTCATAATAATTGGTAGCAGCGGAAAAAAGTTATTTTAGCATTGTTAAAATTTAAAAACCCTTCATAAAGGAGGAAATTAATTTTGATCCTCATAACAGCTGAACCGATCGGGTCCAAATTTTGTGTGGGACCTTACATGACCCCAGAGAAGGTTTATGGATGATTAAAAGGGGATGGAGGAGATGTCCCTGCCTTTATTTTTGGTTCAAATATTCCAATTTTTCGGCTGCACGTCTAAATAGTGTTCGAATTTCCTTAAAATGGGAAAATTNCCTTCTAAAATATTAGACTCCAACAAAATTCGATTTGCATTAAATTTTGAAAGTCCACGAAATATTTTAATAAAATTCGCGAATATCTTTTGTTATTGTTTCACAATGTATATAAAGAGAAATGCCTAGAATTGTAAACTCTAGTCAAACTTTTTGTATTTAGAAAATTCAGGTCTTAGCTTGTTACCCCCCTCCCCCCCTTATTGTTTTAAGTTCTGGTGGCAGTGAAATTTATATTTCCAGACAAAGCTGGGTTCCTGAGGTATACATTGACAGTTACTGAAGATTGTCGGAAAACATAAACATACATTTTACAATACATTATGTAATTATATTTCCTTGAAATGCAAAGTAGAACATAGAAATAAATTGCTTATATTAAGGTGTAAGAACTGTGTGAATAATAATAATGATTAATTATGGTAAATCAACTTTGTATGTAAAAAGTAATGGGTAATAATGTTATTTATTAATAATTGAACATTAATTTCAACATAATGTTAACATCGTAAATAGTAAATATGTTTTTAGCTAACATAACAATGTAATATCTATCTAGATAATATGTGTCTGTCTATCTACCAATATCTATCTATCTATCTGTTATCTATGTCTATCGTTTGATTTATATATGAAATTTATTGATTTTGTATTTAATCTACAGGGTTACCAACAAAGGATGAGACTGTAAATACGTATAAAAACTCTTCAAATATAACGGTTTTAATGTAATACATCTTCTGCCTTGAATGTGGTCTTTAAAGGGTTTATTTTATGATTTGGCTTAGAAACAATAATGAAACTGATGGTTTAAGTTCCTTTAAGTCGTCTCTGAAGTCTCATCGTTTTTGGGTAACCTTGTATCTATTTTGTGTTAAAATTAGTCTAGAACATGGCTATATTCAGGGAGAAGAAGGAGGTTGAGCTGGAGATTAAAAGGTTGAAGGAGCTCGTCATTGATCCAGCATCTAGAGACGATGATCTCATCAGAAACCTGCAGATCAATATGATCAAACGATTCCGATCTATAGCACTAGGTAGGTGAAGATTGTACAGGGTAAAACCAAAAAATGGTCCCAAAAAAATGGTACTAAAATAATAATAATAATCACTCTCAATCCTTCAATCCGAGATTTCTTCTTCTCACTTGTGCTTACTCATTCTGAGTTTAAATTATAACTGCATCATTTATTTGTGAATTATCCGTCCGTTGTGTTACGTGTATGTGCATTATCATTTGTGAGTAAATATATACTATATATATACTTTTAGTTATAGTAGTCTTTCTAGTAAATACCTTGCATATTTTTGGCAAAACTATACAATGCATCCTGACTAAATAACTCTTTGCACTTGTACATCTTTATGCAATTATTAAATCAGATAGATATACCAAACGCGCACTGGCACGGCATGCTATATTCGTCCATTATCTAACTCCTCCTGTTTCAGCTTTTCTCCTTTCAGGAATTGAACTTTTGCGATATTTTATGAACATCTAATATTTAATAATGTTAACACTTTCGAACTTAAATTTTCTTTAAAAGATTGAAGGAAAATATAGAGGCTTATTTTGGAAGGTTTTATTACTTATCGCACGGAAACTTGGGCATCCATTTGTTCACAATGATCCCCGGTGTAGAAAATATTGCATATTCTAGCCTTGTAACAGTAAAGAGGGATATTAATGTTTCTCCGTGACGAACTAGGACAGCATAGGAACATATTTTTGTCGAAATGAAATTTTTGCCGAGACCCGTTTGTGCTGCAACTTAACCATTATTTGCAATAACAAAGTAATCCTGTAAATCGTCACAATAAAATGTAACCAAAACAATTCCTAGAGTCTTAGTATTACTCTTATTATTATCATATTCAAATATATTTGAGTCATCGGAATTAAACGATTTTCAAAGCCAGGGGTTGAAATTTAAAAAATTAACTCACAAATAATGTTGCTTAAAAAGTTTATTGTATGTAGAATATCTGGAATTTGAAAATAGTTTTAGATATCTTATCGTTTCGGGTAGCCCTGCAAACATTTCAGTGCATTCATGAATAGTTTCATATAAACAAATCGGTAATATCAATATTTATAGATATTTTACTTCCTTAAATATCAATAAAGTGGTGCTTCCTCTGAAGTTTTGGGAAATTCATAAATCCTTTAAATTGAAAGAAAATTTTTAAAAATCTTGCGGATTTTATAAAAATATTTCGTGGACTTTAAATTTAATGAAAATTTAATTTTGTTAGAGGCAAATTTTTGAAATTTGATCATTCATAAGCATATCCTGGATCATGTGAGGTCCCACACAAAATTTGGGCCCGATCGGTTCAGCCGTTTTCACGTTTATTGGATACAAACGGACAGACAAACAGACAAGCAAAGTATATATATATATATACAAGGCAAGCGCCTCTATTTCAAACATTTTCTCCTTGTATATATTTTAAATGAAAACCAAAAAAAAGTTTTGACGTTTATTGCATGCAAACAGACGGCCAGACAGACAGACAAGTAAAGTTTATATATATATAGAAATAGAATATACATAGATGTATTGGAAGAATTCCAAATTGGCTCACTAACAATATTATCCGACCGGTATAGTTCCCAACACTTCTGTTTTTTTATATTTCTTTGGTTTTCAATATACATTTAAGCAGTGCGTACGATTCATTTAATTTCAATGTGGAGCTGTCGAATGTAATTTTTTTCCGTCAATTTTTAAGTAGAAACTTATTTTACCATTTAAGGATTTTGATGGGTTTTATGATCTCATTGGTTGACACTTAAAATAAGGAAAAAAACTTTTTTTCCCGATATTTTGGACGATATTATGCCGTCCGCAGATTCGGACCCTAAGCACTGCAATTACGTAAAATATTTCGAGCATCTGGTATTCTTTCCATTAATACTTGCCACTTAATATTTCTCTTTGTAACAAACCTCCTGCCCCCCCCACCCTATTTTCAACATTAATCTTTAATAAAAAAGCCATAGTGATTATTTTAATATCTTTTCTCCCCTCCAGCCCCTAGTCCCACTTGTCCCCTAAGTATAGGATATTCTACACTCTTGATATTTTAACATCTAAATATACATCATTTACGTTTTAAGGGAAAGTACGCCAAATATTATAAAAAATATTATTAAAATTTTCTCTCGTACTTAATTTGATATGATAGAAAACATAAAAATATTTTATATTTTGATCCTTGTTTTGCCAATGAAACCATACAAATCTACTAAAGTCTAGCTCAATTATAAAATGATGGACAAAACATGATATATATATATTTAGAGGAATTGGACTCCCTTCATATGGAAATAGATATTCTACATCATAGAAGAGAACTCAGGTCTACCATGTTATGTATTCTCTTTTTTGTTTGTATTAAAACTTTAAGTATTGCCAATATTTTTTATTCTTTGTAAATAATTTTTTCTTTGTTCACTGAGCTCCACATTATTTTAAACTTATTAAATTTTTGAACAAAATTGGTTTTACTTAATTTGCGTTAAAGTTTCTGCCAATTTAAAGGGAGTGACCGGCAATGTATGGTAGTTGAACTAAGAATATAAAGTATCTTGGAGACATTTTTTAGGATTCATTTGAGACATATAAAACGGTTTATTGATGTATATTTACTGAGCGCAAAGTCGGCTTTCGAAGTCATCCATTTGGGTGGTTAGGTTTTGAGAATCAATTTTTTAAAAATTATTTAATGACGACCACGAAAACTGTAGCAAAGAACTCTACAGTGAACTAATTAGTTGTTTATGAGGAGGTTGAGAAAATAAAATCATCGAAAATAAGTAATCTTATTCAATCATTAGTGTCTGCATTGTCTCATTGTTCAAAACCATTTTCTGTAGATTTCAATGATTTTGAACGTCGACTTTGTGCTCAAGCTCATTAATCATAAATAATCAAAACGTTTTATATTATGCACTTTTCAGCTTTTAGCGTCTCTCAATATAATTTTCAGCGTCGGAACAATAGAAGTGCATGACTATGTAACCAATGTATTGTTTATGCGCCACCCCATACACCATATACAGAATAATCGAGTTTACCCTTTAGTTTTAGAATTTATTTCTTGATCATCTACTAGCTATAAAGCTGAAAATATAAACACAATTAGCATGATATATTTTTTTAAATGTGATAAGTGGTAAAATGTTGTGACCAGATAAAGTTATTTGACAGAATACGTTAAAATCCAAAATTTCAAAATGTGATCTCTGGTGAAATGTTACGACCAGATAAAAGGATTTGAAGAGTTATATGAGAACTTTAAAAAAGCTTAAAACATCTGTTTCAAAAGGCAAATGAGAATATTTTATGAGATACAATGGTGTCCCTAGCTTTCTAATATAAATCTTACATTTGATGGGGGTTTTGGTTTGCTCGCACGCTGATCAAAATGTCTTCTATTGGGGTTTTATCAGGTTTCAAGTTCTCCGTGTGTCAGTATAAGTTCTCCTGCGAATGTATATAACTATAAGCAACTAGTTTTCTATGTGGATATTAAGAGTTTATGTCGATTAGGTTTATGAGATAAAAACCTTTTAAGTGTGTCCTGTGAACACTGCTAACTGCAATTCTTCCTTGATTCCGTAGAATGAATGCATGTAGATCAGGATATTCCTGAATTAGTTTAAAGTCAGGCCAGGAACGATCTTATTCTTTTAAAGAATAATTGTTAAGATGTGAGAAGTATTCACCTTCTGGAATCGAGCTAGATACAATCCCTCAAGAGCAACAGTACATAAACAATACGTACAGTTGTTATCAGTTATTGTTAATCTAAAGTTTGACACAAGTTAGGTTTAAACAATACCTGGGAGGTTTTCCAGACCAGCTGTGTTCTGTAGATCACCGTGAAATCCAGTTAGATCTTTGTTAAAGCTGACTGGTTTGTAGATGGTGAATATAAGATGTAGGATCAAACTGTAGATATCTCGTATTAGTCCTGTTCCGCATCTAAAGATCAATCAGTTGAAATCACGTTTCAACATCAATTATCTTCTTCAAATGAATACGTTTTAACAAATTCTGTTAATTGACCTGCTTGCGTTTGTGAGACAACCCTACCCTCTTTTGGAGCCTCAAGAACTCCGGGTTATACTGATTACTCTCGATGATCAACTGGATCAAACAACTGCAATACAATTAATGAATCTATTGCTTTATATGATCTCCGAACAAAGTTTTGATTACTATTTTGTACCTTGAATGTTAATTGAACAACGGATCACTTCTTGAGATGGGATTAGCGATTTTTATGGATCTTGATCTCCGATGATCATCTACAACACGACGATCTTTATATTTTGAATGAAAGCTTCGGATTAAATATCATTTTTAAAATGTGCCAAAATTAAATTCCTTTTTAAGCTTGATAAAATCTGGTTTACATGACTTCTCAGTTTTTCAATTACATTTTTATATTATTTTAACTCGTAGATTTGACAGGATAAAGCGAACATTCGCGGTTATTTAATCATCCTGCATATATATAGTTCTTGGGTGGATCAGCCTTCTTCTTTTAGACTGTAGTTAGTCCTAAAATAATAGTTTAGAGTTTACATATATATGCCTCAAATGAATCCTAAAAGATTTCTCCACAACACTATATTCTCCGTTCAACTACCATGTATTAAAAAAAAGAAAACTGGTCTAGGGATTACATCAGATTTCAGATCAAAAATCAACATTTTTCTAATTCTTTTTATTTGTTTAAATGATTATTTCTTTGTTCACTGAGCTCCACATAATCTTAGGAATTTAACGCATTTGAAGAGAAACCTAAACGAAAAGGGTTTCCTTAAACCGTCTACCAGTTCAATTAAAAAGTAGACAAATTGGTCTGAAGACCACATGTTTGATTTTATTCCTTCACAATTGTGCGTAGTATATTAAATATTTGAGCCAAATTTTCTTTTTAGCGATCCACAATCAACATTGATAAATGGTGTGCAGCATTCGATGAAGAATTAAAAAGATAATCTCAAGTTTTCATTGTTTGATTTCTTCTCCTAAAATTTTTCTCAAATTCTCATCCTAACTCACTTATCTTGCACACTTTCTTTTATCCCTTTCATATTTTATTTTTCTACTTTAGATTACTTTTTATCCCTTTAATCCTATTCATTTCATTCCACCCCTTTCATCCTTCCTTCCACCAGTTTTATTCGATTGATGGGTAAATATTTTAAAATCCCCCCCCCCCCCCCCCCCGATTAGGATCCAGTAAATTTTGATGAGGATCCGGATCTGGATCCTGGATTCGCTTTGGGGAAAAAATGGATCCGATCCACCCGGATCCAGGTCACAAACTTTTTTTAAGATTTTGAATTTTTGAACAGATGAATTTCGAATTATTTTGTTACCATGTTTACTTATTTTTAACAACTTGATGCACCATTCATAGATGAGGACATTTTTGTTTTCTCTCTTTTTTCATCTGTTCATATTTGAGTTTTGAGGGCAGTTTTTGGTTGATATGTTATCTTTTGATCCGGATCTGGATTCGGATTCAGGAATCCAAAATGTTGCGGATCCAACAGATCCGGATCCTAATCAGTGCATTTACTGGGCAGGGGAATTAATTTTTGATGATTATTTTGTGGAGTAAGTGTGTTGGGACCAATTATTAACATAACAACTAAACCCCCTCCATCTTAATTCTAATTTGCTAACTATATATATATATACTAGAAATTCAAGGCGCTTCGCGCCCTTCTTTCTAGCCTTAGAGGGCGCTTCGCGCCCATCTTCTAAATTAGTTGTAAACATGTTCTCTTTGTGTACATCGTAAAACTAAACAAAAATAATTCGCGGATTTTCACCAAAAATTTCGCGGATTTTCAAAATTTTAAAAAATTTTAATGACGATCGAATTTTGATGGAGACAAATATTTGAAATTTTGATGATTCATAAACCTTCCCTGGGCTCCCTAGATGTCCCACAAAAAATTTGGGCCCGATCGGTTCAGCCGTTTTGACGTTTATTGGATACAAACAAACAAACAGACAAACAAACAGACAGACAAACAAGCCAAATTTATATATAGATATAAATATATATTTCAGTTTTTAACTTCACATTTTTTATTAAAAAATAATTATACTAAACATAATGTTTCAGGCCATCATGACGATCCTCAGTAGTTACAATTCTTTGAACAATATAAATATTGTGTTATAGAGCTGGAAGAGTTGAAGCTGAACCTGTTAAACCAGCCCGTCCTCTTCAACCAATCATCATCACAAAGGTATGAATACAATCTAGAAAGTAATCTTTATTAAATAAAGCTCTTCGCTCACATATATTATATATTATATATATATATATATTCATATCATGTGTTGAATACTTCTTTTCTAATATATACATGTATGTATGTTGATATGTATAATATAATGTTCGCTAAAGTCGCCGAACGGCTGGACCAAATTGGGTGACAATTTGAAGGGTACCTATTGGTATCCTGTGGTTGATGTAGGCTAAAAAATTGGATAACTTGGAAATTCCATATGCCGCCGGACGCTTTAGCTAAATTCGTAATTTAATAACAAGCGACGGTGAGAGTTACTTTGAATATGAATAAAAATATATCCAGGGCAACGCCGCGCGCCGGACACTTCAACTAATGGAATATTCTTCTAGCAATCAGTTCTTGGCATCCATTTAATTTTGATCCGAAATACGAAATTTTCTTCAGGTTTTACATGCGTCTTCTTTTTAAAATTTCTTTTTCTTTTTGAAGTCTAGTACGCTTAAACTTATTTACTATTCAAGAGGTCAGAAAGGTAATCCGTATATTTTGGCTGATAAGAAAATTTAAGTACTGAAATTTTTTGGAGTGGGGGGTTATTAATTATTGAACTACTTCTTATGCAGTAAGACATTCACAAAAGTCTCTTCAAGGTTCAACTGATTTTCCCCTTTTTTTAATTATTGAACAAAATTTGCTGTCGTTCGAAAAATTTGCATGAAGTGAATGTATTTAGGAATAAGTGTTGAAATATAAATATTCTATATCGTAAATCTTTTTTTTCAATGAAGACCGATTCCTTCATCCTCTTCCGTCAACATTAATTTTAACAGAATGGATCTATCCAACTTATCCAACATCATGGAATGGGGAGTACAGAGAACAAAGGTTTAAAGAGATTAGGGAGGTTTTTAATAATCTTTTTAGTTTAGATCCGTGGATCAGCATATTTGTGTGGATCCGGATCCGGGAAGATAAAATGATGCGGATGGGGGTTGAAAATTAAAATTTTCTCCCTTCTTTAATGCTTAAAATAGTTTGATAAAAACTCGAAAAGAAAAAATTATTTTTTTAGTTTAATTAGAAACAAGGAATTTGAAGGAGATGTATGGTCTAGGGTATCCAAGTCTACCAGTTCTCTCAGTAGATGAGTTCTACGATCAAAGATCTAATATTTAGGATAAACTACAGAAGGAGATGTCTGGTCTAGGGTTTCCAAGTCTACCAGTTCTCTCAGTAGATGAGTTCTACGATCAAAGATCTAATATTTAGGATAATCTGCAGAAGGAGATGTATGGTCTAGGGTATCCAAGTCTACCTGTTCTCTCAGTAGATGAGTTTTACGATCACAGATCTAATATTTAGGATAAACTACAGAAGGAGATGTATGGTCTAGGGTATCCAAGTCTCAGTAGATGAGTTCTACGATCAAAGATCTAATATTTAGGATAAACTGCAGAAGGAGATGTATGGTCTAGGGTATCCAAGTCTACCTGTTCTCTCAGTAGATGAGTTCTACGATCAAAGAGTTAAAGAGGGTTGGTTTCCACCTACAGGGCAAGGGAAATCGTTACAGGTAGATTTTTTCAACCATTTGCGAAACCACCCCGCCGACATTTACAAATTAAAATTGCATGCAAGATGGAAATCTTTTATGTTTTGGTTTAACTACATTTATTTAATAGCTATTGAGAAGAATAAATTAATCTGAATTTCTTTTATGGAAACGGATAAATTTGCTTTTCTCATACTTATGTATAAAATCAAACTAGAGGAGCTATGAGATTATATAAAGTTCAATAGAAAAATGGAGGAAATTTTTGCTTTACAAATTTGGTCGAAATTTGCAAGTAAAAAGTGTTAAGTTTTTTTGCTGACTAAAAGCTGAACAAAAAAGGTTTTTAAAGTGAAACAAGCAAGAAAATAAATAAAAATAGTCCAACCACTTAAAAAAAATTTCGTTATCTTTATTAAAATTAGTTTATTATAATTGTGTTTGCAAAAAACATTTTTTTGCGCAAATTCTGATGAGCAGTTTTTCGACTTTTGCGTCAATTTTATTTTGTGCGTAAAGCAACACTATTCCTTCAAATGTGTACGAAATTTAGAAAAATTATATTCAGTGAAAATTTTATGTAAAAAGCAATATTTCTGAACAGAATAAAATTGGCGGCGAAGTAACATCCTCCGTTGCTCTTAAGTTGGTTGTTCTTACTTAAATGCATTAGTTGCTCGTTTTCAGCAGTAGGAAGGGGTTGCCTCTTCTTTATATGTAAATTGATATTTTGCACATTTCTTTTAGTGCCATTTTGCGGAATTAATATCCCAATGGAATCTAGTTTTATCTTATAACACATTTATTTGAGAGAAGATATGATATCTAGCTGGTAAATAAACTGCATTTTTGCATAAAAATACTTGTTTAAATTCTATTTTTTGCCAAGTGTCTTTGAATATCTTTGTTTTTTTACTTTTAATTAAAATTAAAGGTAACAAAAAGAAAGTGTTTAAGAAGAAAGTTCTAAAGCGCTATAAAGCACTATCTTTTGCCATTTCGCAGTTTTCAAGATTTTTGTTTAAGTGAAACAGTTTTTCTTGAAGCTCTAGGCAAGTGTTGGATTTGACTCCGTATTTGAAATCACGTTAGGTTTGGTAGAGCTGAATAAAATTCTAGATTATTTGTTATGTGTCACATTAATCTACAAAATACACATGTTTCCAGGAATATAAATATAGAAGGGTTCTTATCCTGTACTGTACTACATTAACAATTGCTATTAAAGATAAAAAATGGTTATTAAATAAAGGAATATATATTCTCAATAAACAGACATAGAACTCATTGAAATTAAAAACTCGTTTCTAAGGAAAAAAAACTGCTTCTCATATTTTTTTTACATTCTGTTAAGGACACTGCTCTAAACCCTGAGGAGATTGCTGTTCTTGAGAATGAGAGAATACGCGAGGAAGAAGAGAAGGAGGAGAACGATGATATTCAAGAACTTGAGAAGAAAAGAGCTTTTGATGACTGGAAGGATGAACACAGGAGAGGAGAGGGGAATAGGAAGAATATGGGATAATTTCTACGAAAACATGAAAACTTTTTATTCTGTGATCATTCTTATCTAACAACCTGGATATTTCACAAGTTTACGGTCCATACATGAGTTGACAGCAAGCTATCCAATTTTTGTCCAGTTTTTGTAATTAAAGGGACTGTACGCGTAATTTCAAGATGGATACGCCCGATTCACAACGATATCCTTGAAACCTTTATATGATCAATAATATGAAATAAATATTCGGTTTTTCGAGGTTTAATTTTTTAAATTCTGATAATTCCTTTATGCATTGTATTTCCTATAAAACTAACAATTAAAAATAAAAAGTTTTCATAATTGTAAACATTAATATGAATTCAAACTTGATCAATCAGATTTTTAGGGGACCGTTGTGAATCTGACATTGCCATCTCTTCATGGAGGGTCATTTAAAACTACGCGCTCAGTTCTAATGTACAGCCGGATAGTACAAAATAATCCAGATAATAATAATCCGATAGCGGTCTGGGCTCTCCAAGATGGGGGGGGGGTCTTCAGATCCTCCCTTATCTTATCTTTTCTATAGGCTGTTTTGTATCCTCGGTTTCCTGCCAACTATTTTCTATTATTTTCAGATAGATTGAACCGTCATAGGGAATCGATTGAAGAAAATGGCGACGGAAATGCAGCCTGCTATGGCTGATGATAAACAGGTAAATACAAATTTAACATTGAAAGGAAAACAGATTGCAACTTATGTTCCTTTAAACCCGACAGACAATGCTTTTTCTTTGTGCCTGGAACAAAGAACATTTCATATTGTAAACTAAAGATTTCTGCTGTGAATCGTATCGAGTCCTGGGGTATCTTGTTCATAAGTCCCGACCTAAGAGCTCGTAAATCTAGAATGAGTACATAGAACCAGTTTAAATTAAATACAAATTATTGAACTTAATTCTCGCTTGAAGCTCATTGTACAAATCGTTTAAAGTTTAAAATCGACTGAATTCCCCGCGAGGAAAAAGACTAACTTATTAAATCGAATTAAATCAGTTCCTTTGATTTAAAAGTTCTCGACTTTGATCCACAAAAAAAGAGTACTAAAGGTAAAGCCAATTAAATAAGGACTTAAAATATAATACGAATAATAAAAGCAGACATATTTTTTAAGTACATTGTGTTATGTACATAAGGGTGTATATTTATAATTATGAATGATTTGCGAAGATCTGGGGGAGGGGGGGGGGGGGTGAAAAATTGGACATCAATTCAAGATTTTTCCTCCTTTTTCTTTCATTTTAGTTTTTACCCAAAAATGTATTTATTTTCTCCAATTTAGCAAATATAATCGCAAAAACTTCTGGAAGAGAAAAAAAATTATTTTTAAAAGGTTGCAATGATTTTTCTTGAAATATACACCCCTGTATGTACAAATGTGCTTTGTACTGCTTGAACTTGTGTATCTTCAGAGTGATGTTACTATTGTACGTGGACAACTGTTTACATGTGGACCTCGCTATACTGGACTACAGGGAATACAATCATAGATGTTATTGTACTATCATCGCCGTAAACATTTATAACGTGTTTTTCTGCGATTTCATTCGAGTAAAAGAGAACAAATTTAGATTTGCTACTGGTATATTTCAATTTATAAAATTTTTTTCTGATATTTTTAATTCTTAATTAATGTTTTTTTCACTGATTTACATGATCTCTTTTATTAAGAAGCTGCGTAAAATGTTACTTTATAGTTAGTAACTTTGGCGGTTGTTCTTTCTATATCCCTTGTCTAAACACTGCGCATTTTAACCTTTTGATACGAATAAATAAATGCAAAGTATTTTTTCTAAATGTCATTATAATTGTGCATTTCATACCAAAATAGTTATTCATTCTGAATTCTCATATCCGCTCTTAATCATATCGCACACTAATCTATTGTGGTCCTAAAAAATAAAAAATAAAAACGTTAACGTAAACGTATCTTTACGTTATGTGGTGAGTGATAAACTTATTTATCTACGTCTGTATTTCAAGTTTTCTATTTTAGGCATTATTCTTGCTTAATTTAATTTATTCTTTTTTAAAATACAAGAATCTAATTTTGATTAATGTTACAGAAAAATGCTATTTTTAATCTAAGTACCGATAAAAATACTGGATATAAATATAGAAAATGCGATGCCAGTTTAAAGTTTCAAATTCCAATGATAGCAATATGCATGTTTCTGTGAACAAAATATTGAATAAATCATCAATCAATTAATCAAATTAACTTCTTGATTTTTAGAAATTCAAGATTCACTCCAATTCCGAGAGAAACCATAGATTACATTAGATTAAATAAATAACTTCTGGAGAAATTTGTTAATTTTACATTTATAATTGATAAAAAAAAATATCCAAACTGAACATAAAGGAACTGATAACTCGTCCAAAATTCTTAATTTTTTAACTCTTATATCATTGAAACCATTTGTCGCAGACCTTTGATATTTCTAACTAAAAATGATGCTTGTGAAAAACTTTTTTAACCTTGGGTTGCAAAATGTAGAGATTTGGAAAAAAAGAGTTCCTTTCTCCTAAAAATGCATTTCTCTTTTTATTCATACATTTAATTTCTCTTTATTACATGATACATCCCTGGAGAATATATTTCTTGAAAAATCACCTCTCTTGAAAACTAAAAAAAATGGAAAAAACTTGTCGGTTGGTTTTCAATTTTTTTTTTTCATTTTTATTTCATCTTAACATCGAAAATAAAATACCCCGTTCCTATGATTGTACACCTGCAGTATATCGGAGAGGGTGCGTATGGAATGGTTGTTTCGGCTCACGACAACGAAACTAAAACTAAGGTNATTGTTTTATAGATTCTACTGAACCTTTGAATAGTTGTTGTTTGGTAGATTCTACTGAACTAAAATATATACTTAGTTAACCCTTGAATAGTTGTTGTTTGGTAGATTCTACGTGATCTAGCGGAGGTTCATCTCATAGGCAGGTTTATCAGAGTAATTAGCGCTACAGATCCTAAGAAGAATGTATAGGGGTCAGCCTCACATATCAAAGAGAGGCTCTGGTCATGAAGTCCCAATTATTCACCTGTAGATTTATATACTCCTCGAATGAAGATAGTAGATTTGTAGGATGGATATTGTAGATGGTGGATTGTTTGGAGAAAACACGTTGGTACTAGATCTATACCACCATTATATAACATAATTACAAATAATTGAATTGTTAGCTCAAGTCCTTTTGTATAAAATTGAAAGTTACTTTTTAAAAGATGTTTATGAACCTCGTATAAAACTGAGGCCTGGAGACTTTTGGGACTAATGGGTTCATTCAAACTATTCTTTGTCTTAAAAAAGACGATATATAGTTTTTAAGGCAACTTATTACTTGCGATCAATTTTGATTCTCAATAAGATAAAGACGTTATATAAAAAAGTTCATGATTACATTATCATGGCTTGCCAAGGATGAAATCAAAATATAAAAATTCTAAAACTGAGCGAAGGTTTATTTTTATATGAAGCTAATGAACGGAAAGTTTTGAAAATATCGGAGAAATTTCAAGTTTTCATGTGTAACTTCAGTTTTTCCTTCTCCGCATCCATTTCTTCACACTCAGCACATGGATTCGATTTCTGTCTCCATATTTTTAGAAATCCTGAACATTTAAAGTTTAAATTAAAATCCTCAGATTCCACACCCTTGAACAGTAGTTGCATGTTAGATTCTACTAAACAAAAATGTTATACTCTCTGTCAACTCTTGAAAAGTTGTTTTTTCTAGTTTTTACGTGAACAAATTATTATATTCTCCGATAACCCTTGAATAGGTGTTTTCTAGATTCTACGTGAACTAAAATATAGACTATTGTATCTAGATTCTACGTGGACTAAAATATAGACTCTATTGTATCTAGATTCTACGTGGACTAAAATATAGACTATTGTATCCAGATTCTACGTGGACTAAAATATAGACTCTATTGTATCTAGATTCTCCGTGGACTGAAGTATATACACTCAGCTAACGTACTGCACAGAGATCTCAAACCTTCAAATCTTCTGTTGAACACAACATGCGACCTTAAGGTAACCATTGTCAACGGAAATGTGAAAAGTTTTAAGAATAATAAGGATCAGTAGAAATACAGATTTACATTAAAGATATTTTATTCCGAATTCTTTTTCCTCGAATATGTAATTCTAAAAATTATTTTTAAAAAAAACGAAATAATTCAAGAGCAAGATATATTCTCATACTTGGGCCCTAAATTTTCTAACATATATAAATTTTGGGTATCTTATCTTGATTAACATTTTTCTTTATCAATTGCGGATTCTTTCCAGATCAACAGAAAAGAATCTTGACAATTATCTATATTTTGTTCAACCTAATTTTGTTTCTAGATAAATTTTCTTTTCTTTTTTCAACTTGACATAAAATCCTTTCAGAGGAAAGTTATCTATTTGAAAAAAAGATCATTATCAGGAGGTCGTTTAAGCAGTACTTCATCCTATTAGGGATGGCCGGGTTGGACCGGACCATAAGTTCTGGCCGGGTCCATTACTTATCCTCCATTGGCGGTTTGGGTTTCTCAAGATGGGGAAACTTTCAGATCAATACTCGTCTATCCTTGTACTTAAAACTACTTAATACTATTCAATAACAATTCGACCTAGGGAGTTGTACTCCGATAGATTTTCGAAACTTTTTTTGTTGCGTTGGGGTGGGGGTGGGGGTTGGAACAGGACTTAATTTAGCTTACTGTTTTTGATAGTTATCCCTTTTGAAACGTCAATAAAAATTATGTTCGATATGAGATGAGGGGAATATACTGTATTATGAAATTATATATTCTGTATTTCAGATTTGTGATTTTGGTCTGGCCCGTGTAGCAGATCCAGATCATGATCATACTGGGTTCCTCACAGAATACGTTGCTACCAGGGATATTATGTTTATTTATACCTCGGCTCATCTTCAGTTTATTTCCCTGTAAACTTTACAGGGATGTAAAGTAAAAGAGCCACGTGCTTGGTCATTCAAAGTGGTGCATTACCTTGGTTGGGAACACATATTTTACCATTACAGTTCAGTTGTGGTTTTAGACAAACAGAAGCACAAGGAAGTTACGTGCACATGCCGTGTTGAAATACAAGACGGATAGAGAGCCTTTCCTAGCCGCAGCACTCGGCCCAGAAAGTGTCTTTACCTAACATAACTCTAAAATCTATACTAATCTCTCTTCTTGTAACTCAAAACGGCAAGTACACGTAATTTCCTTGGGCAATTGCCTTTTGGACAACAGCCAACTGGCAATCCATTATTTTTTAAATTACCATGCTAAAAACCAGCTTTTCTCTGCATAAGATTGTTTTCAGAAATACAAGAGGGGCAGCTTAGTAATTTTTCTGATCTTGTTGGTCCTAAATCTTATTTTTTGCATTTAATATGGTCAAAAAAATGTGTATAATTAGAATAATGCATTAAATAAGTGCGAACAAAATAAGAAATTGTTTCACGAGAGTATGGTTAAAAAAGAACGAATGGAGAATTAGTAAAGGAATTCATATTTGATTTGAAAAGGACACGTTGTAATGATAAAAATGGTCATATTTTTCCAAAAAAAAATAAAAATTCTGAACTTTTGCCGGAGAGTTTTCTTTTGATTTAGGTAACTGTTCAGATTTGAGATTCTTAGATCTTAAAGTAAAATGATTTAATCTCCTGTTAAGTAGTAATTAATAGTTATAATGAGATAACTGAGATAATGTGAGAGGGGTGTCGTTTATTCTAATTTGTGACGTAAAAATTTTCAGAGAAAATAAAAATAAACATTTATGTTCACAGATGGTACAGAGCCCCAGAAATTATGCTGAATTCAAAGGTATGCTTTTTTGATTAGATCATAAGGCGAAAATTTTTTTCTGTTTGAGTCACTAAAACATGTTTTTTCAAATGAAGAACTTTTATATTAATTCTTCATTATGATTTTTATTTCGGACTTTTCCATTTCTCAATTATGCATGATGAATCGTTTACAAACGTTAAGTTATAAATATGGAATTACAAAAAAATCAATTCTTCTCATTTATCCTTCTAAACTAAATCTATTGATATCTTTTTACTGTTTAGGGTTACACTAAATCTATTGATATCTAGTTATATCCTGTTGTTTAGGGTTACACTAAATCTATTGATATCTGGTCTGTTGGTTGTATCCTGGCTGAGATGTTGAATAACCGACCAATATTCCCTGGAAAACACTACCTGGATCAACTCAACCATATCCTGGGTATCCTGGGCTCCCCCTCCCAGGAGGATCTCAAGTGTATCATCAACGACAAGGCCAGGAGCTATCTACAGACTCTACAGTATAAACCTAAGGTGAGAAATCTTTGTTTCTTTAAAAACTGAGTGCTTAGGATCCATTTCAGTTTGATTCAGATCCGGATATTGAATTCGTTATGCAAAGATAGATATTAAAGATATTAGCATAATAGCCTTTTTTCCGTTTTTTCCTAGTTCTGAGCCAAGTAAGGGTCTGTTCTTAAAATACAATTAACATATAAAAAATCTGAAAGATTTCCTTTTACAAATACAAAATGTCCTGCGTTAATTTTAATCTCGGCCTTTTTTAAAGACGAATGAATGTTCTGCAAAATCCGACTCCAGGCCCAAGGGGTGTATAATTTCTCAAAAAATCATTTTTCTTTTCCCTGAAAAATGTTGACCCCTGTGTGACTCTGTAGTCTGTAGTCTCACATAACATTTTCCAACATTTTATAAGAATCCGAGTTTTGCAACTTTTTTATGAGAAAAAGAGATAATAGTTTCTAACTTCAAGGAGGGTTTCTCATTTATTATTTAATATTTTGATCTTTATAAAGTTCACTTAGCATTTTTACACCATATCACATTCTATCCATTCTACTAATCCTAGGACAGAATTGAATTAATTGGAGAGGTCGCTCAACTACCTACCACTGAATCAAATCATCATGAATCTTGTTACTTTTAATCGGTGATTCAGATTTGAACCGGTGGTAGATAGTTAAGCGACTTGGCTCAAATTCATTAAGTTCGGTCCCTAGTTACCTAGTTGGGTTAAGGTGAATAGATAGTCACAGAAGTTTTTTTTTGCAGAATGAGAGGGCCCCCCCTCATGGAATAAGGAATGATAAATAATTTAATGTTGTTAAGGTCCCCTGGGCCAAGATCTACGAGAATGCTGACAGGAACGCCCTGGATCTGCTGGAGAAGATGTTAACCTTCAACCCTCACAAGAGGATTCTAGTTGAGGATGCTCTAGCCCATCCTTACCTTGAACAGGAACATACTGATATAGATAGAAACCGTTATAAAGGCGTAAGATGAGCATATCCCACTCACAACGATACTCTTGAAACCTTTGTCCGAGAAAAAAAGGATAAAATTATCCTCGTTATTCTATTTGAAAAATAATAGTTTCTGATTTTGGTTTCTTTAAATTTAAGAAAACTATGATATCTTTCCTAGTATCTTAGTATATTTGTTGTAACCTCACAAATTTTCATATTACAAAATGAGCTCATATGCTATTGATGGGCATCGTTTTCTGGTCTGTTTTCAACATTTCAATTTATTTTACTAGAAGCTGTTCAAAAATTTGAGATGTGTATTACATAGCAAAGTTACAGGGTTATTAAAAAAGTGGGAATAGCAAGATCTTGCATATAATAACGCATTTTTTTGAAAAAACACTCGTCCCCATCTTCTTGCTGTATTCCCAAGTTTTAAATATTGTCTGTTCTGTTGAAAATTGGGGAGCCATTGCAGGCAGAACTTTGCTCCTAATGATTATTTTAACACTAAAATTGCGGATAATATGCAAGATTTCGCTATTCACCCTTTTTTTTACTCACCCTGTATATTCTCAATATCGTGCAGAATCGGTACTCTGTCCCAAAGGAGTTAACGTTTATTTCGTATTTCAAATGAATTTTCTAAACGATGTTGCCAATCGTTCTGAAAATTAGTTGTGGGTTCAAATCTTTGGTTCGATTAAACTTTTGACTAATCTAACGTAAGCAAAGTAATCGAGTTTTTTTTTTGACAAATTAAACATCTCAGCCTACTTCGAAGTCTGTTAAATGTATAAAAAAAAAGTCTTGAATGAGACGGGACAAAAAGAAATTATAACTGTAGCAATCGGCCCGGAATATATCGTGTCATATTCTAGCTTGTCTTTTTATTAATGTTTGAGCAAATTTCAATTGAAAAAAGGTAAATTTTGGGTCTTAATTAGGTATTCACTTAAATACAAGATAAGATATACTTATTACTTATACATTACTTATATGCTTACAATATTTATACTTTGGAGAAAAATTCTCAGCGATAGCGATTGAACGAGCGGTTGAGATTTAGCCTTAAGACTCGACGACACAGTCTAGAATAAAATGTGACTTTTTTGGTTCCACCGCTGAAATCTAATTCTTAGGCGATTTTTTTTGCCAGGTTTACCTTGGTGGTTTCACACTTTATGGATCAATTTTTTTTCAACCCGCTGGGTTCAAATTTTTAAATAATTTGTTTGGAGACTAAAAATATAAAAAATGTTTAATTGTAGCGGTTAAAGAGTAAATAAGTAAGAGTCTACGCTATCACTTCTAGTTCAACAACTACCGCTGGTTTTTTCTCTCCAATTGATTGAAAATATTGATTTTGCACAAGTAAAAAAAGAACTAGAAACCAAAATATACCGGGATATTAACAATTTCTAATATCTGGTATGTTCTCCAGTATTATGACCCGGCTGATGAACCTGTAGCAGAAGAACCGTTCAGGTTAACTTTATTATTCTTAAAGGGAGTGTTCGCGAAAAATTAAAGTGGGTAAAGGTTTACATCGAATTTGGTTCAAGACGTTTTTAGCCATTTCCACCTTGTAGACGCAACAGATAGAAGAAAAATTAGTAGCGATCAATATCGAATTCTATTCGATATTAGCCCTTACCCCCTTTCATTTTTCGCGAACACTCCTTTAAGAGGGAAAATTCACGATTCACGAAGTGACCGGCAAGAGGGGGGGGTGTCTTTGATGTTCAAATCCGTAAAGATGAAAATTTAGATTAAAATTCTGTTTTTTTTTAAATATCGATCTTTTAGCTTAAAATATTGATCTTCTAGGTTCAAAATATTAATCTTGTAGGTTTTAAATACTGATCCTGTTGGTTTAAAATTCTCTTCTTTTAGGTTTATAATACCGATCTTCTAGGTTAAAAATATTAATCTTGTAGGTTTTGAATACTGATCTTCTAGGTTTAACGTATTAATCGTGTAGGTTTAAAATGCTGATCTTCTAGGTTTAAAATGCTGATATTCTAGCTTTAAAATATTAATCTTGTAGGTTTTGAATAATCATCTTCAAGGTTTAAAATATAAATCTTGTAGTTTTTAAATACTGATCTTTTAAGTTTAAAATACTGATCTTCTAGGTTTTAAATATTAATCTGCTAGGTTTAAATACTAATCTTCTAGGTTTAAAATACTGATCTTCTAGGTTTAAAATACTGATCTGTTAGGTTTAAAATACTGATCTTCTAGGTTTAAAATACTGATCTGTTAGTTTAAAATACTGATTTCAAGGTTTAAAATACTAATCTTCTAGGTTTAAAATGCTAATCTTCTAGGTTAAAAATACTGATCTTCTAGGTTTAAATTACTAATCTTCGAGGTTTAAAATACTGATCTTCTAGGTTTGAGATGGAGCTTGATGATCTACCGAAGGAGAAACTGAAGGAATTAATCTACGAGGAAACTGCAAACTTTACTCCTCGACCTTTAGTTGATCAGGCAGAACCCATGCAGTGAATATTCAACTTAGATCAAGCAGAACTCATGCAGTGAATATTCAACTTAGATCAAGCAGAACTCATGCAGTGAATATTCAACTTAGATCAAGCAGAACTCATGCAGTGAATATTCAACTAGATCAAGCAGAACTAATGCAGTGAATATTCAACTTAGATCAAGCAGAACTCATGCAGTGAATATTTAACTAAGATCAAGCAGAACTCATGCAGTGAATATTCAACTTAGATCAAACAGAACTCGTGCAGTGAATATTCAACTTAGATCAAGCAGAACCCATGCAGTGAATATTCAACTTAGATCAAGCAGAACTCATGCAGTGAATATTCAACTAGATCAAGCAGAACTCATGCAGTGAATATTCAATTAGATCAAGCAGAACTCATGCAGTGAATATTCAACTTAGATCAAGCAGAACTCATGCAGTGAATATTCAACTTAGATCAAGCAGAACTTAAGTACTGAATATACTCTACAATCTACATAGACCTTCCTAGCTGACTCTGCGGCCGTATTTTACAGAATTTTAATGTTCCAAGATTTAGGGTTTTACTAAATAAAACGTCACCATAAGTAAAAGTAACAAAAAGTAACGTTTATCATACAGTTAGAATTCCTGGAAAAAAATAAATCAAGAAGTGAAACATTTTTTGGGGTTTTTACTTACTTATTTAAACCTTGTCTCGAACCAAAGGACTATCTCGTCAGACGTTTAAGAAGCTTGAAACCACAAACCAAAAAGGATAAAGCATCCCAGATGCATAAATTCAGTTTTCTCTTCCAAGCTTTTCAAAACTTGATCTTAATATATACTTTTGTTGCATTACTGGCACATCAAAGCAATTAAACATTTTTTCATCAATTAATCTATAGTATTCCTATCAGTAATTTTGTGAGGCCAATTAAAATTAACAAACTGCTATTCTCAGTCCCAATTTTTGTTTTTATTTTCACCATTAGCTTCGAAAATTTGAAAATGCATGCCTCTTTTCTAAAAAAGAATGATGAGCGGGGGCTCTAATCCTATTTTACAATTTAGGTTTATCAGCTTGCAAGAAAAAACTTACCTGAGCCAGTGTCAATTTAAATTATATGAGTTTGTTATAAAAAGCTAATCAATCTATCAATCAATAATCTGGAATTAAAGATAAATTTTTAGTGGAGCCAACTTTAAACAAATCTTTTAATGATAATATTAGTTTGTGATTGAAACCGTTCTGTACTGCTGTACACGTACGGTGATGTAGAATTTATGATGGAATATCAATACAGCTCGAAATTGTACTGCAAAGTGCAGCTTTTATTGTACTGTGTACATTGAAATTGAATGTCATTAAGCCCAATTTTATAAATATTTTTTGTTGTTTTATTCTGCTTTTTCTTGTCTGTTAGCTGTTCACCATTATTACTGTACAGTTTAAGTGACACGCACATTATCTTTTCTTGTTTTTAATGTATTAAAATTAGTTTTTTTTTACTTAAAAACAATTAAATCTTTATTGTCCAGCGTATTCAAAATTGTTTAAAAGCGTAACATCTAAAAAAATGGTATTGCATCATTGTACGTAACCATTTTGTACAAGAGGAAACCGGTGTACATACAAAGGACTGGATAGAATGGCAATTATGTACAAAAATTAGATAATTAAGCTAATTATATTCAAGTTTATTGAATACCATGAGAAAGTATTCAAGATATTTTTAAACTGCTGCATTTTAAGTCTTCTTGTTGATAAATTATATATATACACATATATATGTTTAATAAGTATTTTATTCAAATAAATGTTAAAATTTTTTATAATATTTTCTGTAAAGGTTTATGGGACTATCGGAACTAGATTAATCTGGAGAAATGCTTGCACTGTTCACATTACTAGTATTGTGAGAGTAATAGATGAACCCTAAATCATAAAATTTATCTGTAAATTCTGTTTTTAAACTAAAGCAAAAGTTAAAAATATATTTAATTTCTGCGTATTTCTTGCTTTAGAGAGTACCGTCTTAAATCGAACACGCCTTTACGAGGACAGTTAACTTCAGATTAGCCTCGGGTTTACAGTTTGGTTCAGATTAGCCTCAGGTTAACAGTTTGGTTCAGATTAGCCTCGGGTTAACAGTTTGGTTCAGATTAGCTCCGGGTTAAGAGTTTGGTTCAGATTAGCTCCGGGTTATGAGTTTGGTTCAGATTAACTCCGGGTTAACAGTTTGGTTCAGATTAGCTCCGGGTTAACAGTTTGGTTCAGATTAACTCCGGGTTAACAGTTTGGTTCAGATTAACTCCGGGTTAACAGTTTGGTTCAGATTAACTCCGGGTTAACAGTTTGGTTCAGATTAGCTCCGGGTTAACAGTTTGGTTCAGATTAGCTCCGGGTTAAGAGTTTGGTTCAGATTAGCTCCGGGTTAACAGTTTGGTTCAGATTAGCTCCGGGTTAAGAGTTTGGTTCGGATTAGCTCCGTGTTAACAGTTTGGTTCAGAATAGTGCAGGAAGTTTGTCTTAAATTATCTCAGGTCTTTTTTGCAGCAACGCTTATTCTTGATTTTCATCTCCGCTATCTGATTCAAGAACTGGAGTTGTTACAACCTAAGATTGAAATTGTATATATATAACTTGTAAGCTGAAGCTAAAGAGTCCGGATAGTTTAACAAATGATGAAAGAAAGGAAAATGTTCTTGAGAAATAAGAAAATGTAAGGGTTGGCCGGGAAAGGTAAAAGAATAGGAAAAGATGGATAATAAGAAATGGAAGTCAGAGAAGCAGTGCTTCGGATCCATTTAATTTTGATGCGGATCAGCACCGGAAAAAATGGTTCCGGATCCAGGTCATTTCTATAAATTTACTGAATTTTTTAACAAAGCAAAATTTTCAAAGTTTTGTCTTATTTTTTTTCGCTTATTCTTATGCTAAAACTTGATGAACCATTCAGAAATCAGGAAAATTTTTATAATCTCACTTTATTCATTGGTTAAGATTTGCGGTTTCAAAGTAATTTTTTTTTGCAGTTTTTTGTTGGTTTTTTTGCCCCTTGGATCCGGATCCAGAAAGCCAAAATCCGGCGGATCCAACGGATCCGGATCCTAAGCATGCTGAGAAGTAAAAAGAAGTAAGTATATTATGAAATAACAAAGAACGATAAATCTATTTTAGAACAACTACCAGTAATAAAGGAACTACCAGTTATAAAATAACTACCTGGTCTAGAAGAACTACCTGTTCTAGAAGAACTACCTGTTCTAGAAGAACTACCTGTTCTAGAAGAACTACCTGTTCTAGAAGAACTACCTGTTCAAGAAGAACTACCTGGTCTAGAAGAACTACCTGGTCTAGAAGAACTATCTGGTCTAAAAGAACTACCTGTTCTAGAAGAACTACCTGTTTTAGAAGAACTACCTGGTCTAGAAGAACTACCTGGTCTAGAAGAACTACCTGTTCTAGAAGAACTACCTATTCTAGAAGAACTACCTGTTCTAGAAGAACTACCTGTTCTAGAAGTTTCTCTAGTTTCCTTATCTCTGCTGCTTTAACCAGGTTGGGTTCCTTGTTAAGTATCGCCTGCTGGGTCTCTTTGTTCATCCGTCTAAGGTTCGGGGACAACTAAATTAACCAAAGGGATTCAGATCTTCTGGTTTAGTGGTCAGTAAGCACTCACTTTCAAACCATTAATAATGTTTTTTTGGGTTTATGGCTGGTCACAATTTTTAATGATTTAATAAATGCACTTTTTGGACTTTTGTAAACAAACAAACTAATCCAATTTGTACAGATGGATCTGATTCAAGTATATCTGGAAACGATCGTAAACATTATGAATAATGCGTTTTTATGCAGTTGTTTCATGGCAAAGCACTGGCTCAATCAATTCAAATATAATTTTTAAGAACATTTTTTATTTATTTATTAATTTATTTAAATGTTTTTTTTTCATACTTCCTTATTTTTTATTTTGAATTTTGGGTTTTCTCAGATTATATATAAAGTATGATCATTTTAGAAAAGAAATAGAGTTTTTGGAAATAATAAGTTATGATTTGGGTTTTGGATTTTGTTGAGCCAGCAGTGAGCCATGAAGAGACGACCATAGCAGTGTTGATCGGAATGTATTATTCGAGCCGATTCTGTCCACCCATAGGACTTGGTAATAGTTTTCATAAAAAAATTCAAGGATTTCACGCAAAAAAATTTTAACTTTTACCTTCAAAAGGACAAATCATAATTTCTAGTTTTGCCTACCTTGAGTGAATGAACGTGTCCACAGCTATCTCCAACTATAATGAGGGGTTCGGATGGATTAAAGGAAATATGGTTTAGTCGGGCCCTTCTCCGGGGTACTATAGCCTAAATTAGGATGGATTCATTGTCCACTGTGAACTTTGTTTTATTCAGAAAACATCGCTAAGTAGTTTTTAAATTGTAATTGTATAAAGTTCTTGAAAATGTGCCAAATAACTGAAAACTAAACAGAAGGAGAAGGTTAGATCTATGCAACATTACTTGTCGACTTTGTGACCTTATTTTAACTAATCTAATTTTCAGTTTACGCATGAGTATGAGAAAAGAAAACTTTAAAACATATGAATTTTTCTCAATAGGTCTTCAATAAACTGGGTTATGATTTAAATCACACAAGGCACGCTCCACTAAACCTCTCTATTTCTTCGGTCAGAGTACTACAAATCACTGCAGTACACACCGAGAGCTTAGTTTAGGGTGCAGATTTCATTCTTTCGAGCAATTTTTCTTAGTTTAACGTGAAGTACCTGTGTACATATTGGATTGTATTTGTTTACATCCAGATCATAAACAAACACTTTTCCTTCTTGGGACACAACAGCAAATACAGTGCTAGAGTAGGGGGACCAGGAACAATCACCAACCTGGGATCCTACATCAAACCTGAACAGGAGTAGAGTAGGAGTAGGAGTAGGAGTAGGAGTAGGAGTAGGAGTAGGAGTAGGAGTAGGAGTAGGAGTAGGAGTAGGAGTAGGAGTA